CCATCATGTGAGCAAGGGCGCCTGCGCAATGAGAGCGCCGTCAAGGAGTGGCAGTGTTTGCCTCGCCTTTTTGGTTCCCAGCAGAGTAGTTGGTTGGTCGGTCAAGCAGTGGCGCTGATGAGGTCCCGCAAAAAGAAGGGGGCACCAGCCATGCGCATTCCCCTCAACCACTGCACGCATTGGTTGCGCAAGGTACAGCGGCCCGAAACAAGGGCAACAACGGCAACGAGCGCCCGCATGTGATCCTGCTTTCACACTCTCAGAAGCACGCAATCTGTCTCTCTGAGATATAGCATTGGGGGCCGGGCAACCAGAAAGAAAGAGACGGGCATATTGTTCCTGGGGTCTACTGTTGAGTGTCTGAAATCACAATTGCAGCGAGTCAGCAGGGAGATGCAATGCAGACGGCCTGGTAACAAAGACGCACCAGAGTTGGGTTTCACTTTTTTCTGGTATATTTTCTTTTTGCTTTTGGTGTAACTCCGGAGTCAGCCTTTCCTGTTGGAGGGGGACTGTAGGAACATGCAACCCCATTCAGCAAGAGGTTTGCAAGCACGCACGCAAGGCACAACACCCACGTTTCATCCCCGCTGAACCAGCCATTTTTGTCTTGCGTCGGCGTCGTGGAGCAGGCCTTGGCAGCTGGTTCCTTTTTTTTCTGATGGATGTGCACTACATTGAGCACCAGCGCAGCGAATCCTGTTGCGCGCAGATCACTCACTCTTGCTCTTGGCTTTGCCGCCGGGGACTTTTTTGCACTGCAGGGGAGAACAGAAATGCCAGATAAATTTGCAAGGATCACATTAGATGTGCTCGTGATGGCACAACTCACGACACTTCTTTTGCAGCGGGAATTTCCGCCGGCTCGGGCACGGGGTGGGGGTCGGCTTGTGGTCTGCAGGGAGAATGAAAATGCGTGAGTGGGTGTGCACTGGATGACAGGCTGGGTACAACTCACAATGGTGTCTCTCTGGTTTTGCGTGTTGGCGGCCTCAGCGCCAGCATGCGCATAGGCCGGGGCACAGGCACAGGGTTGGCTGGTGGTCTGCAGGGAAAGTCAGAATTGATGATCAGATTTGATTCTGCTGGCAAGGGGCGCGCACAACTCACGGCTCCTGGACAGTGCGCCGCTGCTGGAGCACCAGGACAAGTGCAAAGGGGAGGTGAAGAAGCAGGATGATGACTGCAAAGATGAGCAGGGACGACATTTTTGCATAGGTAAGGTGGGGGATGGTGGAAGTCGAAACGAAGAGGGTTGCCTCTGCTGGCTTCCATTCAGTGCATCAACATGACACTGGAAGCGGCGAGTCACCAGTCCACTGTGGCAGCATTTCATTTGGGTTTCTCTCTAGCCTCCAGCTCTGCCAACTCCCTCTTCAGCTCCTCCAGCCCCTCCCAAAGTTGCTGCATTTGCTCTTGTAGAGCAAAATACTGAGCTTGACTCCAAAGTAAGATGCCACAAAGGCATTACATTTCTCTGCAGGAAGAAGCAGGATAAGCAGGTGTTGGTGCGCAATGCATCTCTTGCAAAGACACTCTCAGTCAGCCGTTTTGGAAAGATGGTGTGAAGAGGAGGTGCGTGCGTGCGCACAGAAGAAGATCTTTATATACAGCATGCTCTTCAGTTGCATGCACACAATGTGAATTTGAATGTTGATTGATTGACCCTCAATGCGCGCAAGAGTGATGCAAGCGTGATTGAGATGAGCTTGATGAAGCAGCATTCTCCTATCGCCATTACCTAATGCGCGCAAGCATGAATGAGATTCGCTTGGCCAGCTTGATTGGCATGCGCTTAACGAAGCAGCATTCTGTGCTCAGTCAAGGCCAGCCTGATTGACATGCGGTCATTGAGGAAGTCACCAGCTTGTCGGCTTTTCCCCCGCACGCTACTGCAGCAAGACTCTGATGGTCACAAATCTTGCCAGTGTCTCCCTTGTACTTTCACTCTTGGGGTGGGTGACAGGTGGAATCACACGACTTTACCTACATGCTCTTTTTTAAGACCGCAAGCGGATGTCAAATGCGCCTCGCAGTCACGCACAGGGGCTCTCTGTGCTGACCGCTCTTGCATTACTGGAATCGCTATGGCTCTGCATGCTCGGATCTGACAAGGTGCGTTGCTTCCGTTAGCCCGGTCAGCACAGCCAAGGGCGGTACCCTGCCCTGTCACGAAAAAAGGCATGTTTAATTTTGACACTATGCCAGACATTCGCGCTCACCGTACTGGTCATTACTTCCAATCAAGAACGAAGCTTCCACTACCAGCGAACCGAACAGCAGCTTCATTTCCACCCCTAGCACATCTGAAGCGAGATTTACAAGCAACGTGCTGGATTTCTCACAGCGTTGCTGTAGTCCAATATGGCTCGTGCAGACCCTGTGGGGTGGGACAAGTAAATGTCCTAGAATGGAGCAAAAAAAGCCTGCTGAAAGGGATGCGAGCTTGGCATGGGCACGTCATTGGCCCCTCTCAGGCCCAACGCGCAGCGATCAACCTTTAATGAGACAAAGTCATTTGAAGCTGGCTCACGCAGCAGCAGACACCCGCGGATCCTGCAAGGGCGCATGCTGTTGGCGTGATCAGCGTAATGATGAGGCGTGATGTTCACGCGTGATATTTCACGGCTTCCCTTTTTTTCTTGCTTTGTTCTCTTCCTTGTTGGGCGCGGCTGCTGTTTTTGCAAGCAGCATACAGTTGCGCAGATTAGGAAGCGTGGGCGAGAATTGATCACCGAAGATGCATTGACACAACACGACGGGAATGCTGTTATCTGAAGGCGATTTACACGGGTCGAAGGCCAGTAGCATAAGGGCAAAGATTGATTTGCGGGCGAAGAGCGAGCGCAGTGCGGCTGCGAAGCCACTTATCTGACTAGCTTATTTTCTGCACATGAAACCGTTGCATCTCGCAGAGACTGACAGATTTGCTGTGATGAGGAGTGATTTCCCGCTGGGGCCACAACAATTGATGACCAAAAGGCAGATATAAGCACCGGAAATAGAGATTGGGATGCAACACTGACCTCAACATTTTGAACAATCCCAACAGAGGAAAACGATCAGATGAAGACGGGAACCTACTAAGTCGCAATGCAGACAGACGCTCTCTTTTCGGCTGATCCCAAACGCCATCGATTCCCGAGAATGTCTAACTCAATTTGCTCATGTCAATCCTGCCTCACGCCAGCTGCCTCGCGCCAGAATCAGCCCTACTTATCTTGCATGACCATAAAATGGCGCTCATCTCGTTTGTGCTGCACACTATCCCCAAAGAACCTGTCACGTTGCGGACGCATAATCAGTGCCGAGAAGTGCGATCGATTGTGACGCGGAAGCCGACAGCTTACTCATTTCTCCATGTTCTGTGCGTGCAGCCAATGCCCTGCTTACAGATCGACACGATCTCCAAGCGCGCATAAGCTTCTGCCAGAATCGAAGCGCCCTAGCTCAGCTAGACATGAGCTGCACGCTCAGGCTTTCAAGATCCGCTCTATATGTCGCCTATTCACAAGTTCGCACGACGGGGTGACGGACGTGCAAGTCGCGTATTGCTCGCGGGCGCAGCATGACTGGGGATGCAACTTTATAGCGGGATTGCCCTATCTGATCTTCGAGTATTGTATGCTGACATGCAAATGACCCATGGCGAAGTCCATGACTCGTGCAATCGTCTCTGCAGGTGTGTTGTCGATGCTGAGAGGGCTTGACGAGCGATAGGACTCGTCAGGGAGAGATGGACGCTTGTCCCAGACTCAAAGCGTGTTCAATATTCAGATCGATTCACATACGCTCAGCTTGAGCACACTTTTGGTGCCACTTGACGGAGGTATGAGATTAGTAGGAAGTGCTCGCCGGATCAGTGGCAAAGCATTGCAAACGCATCACTGCGCGTCTCTCAAATCGCTTGTGGGAAGAGCAACATTGCGCCTCTTCCCAACAATCGTGACTTAAGAGCACATGCATATCGTTTCATTTGCGTGAGCCAGCTTTGGTTCCCAGCTGCCTGCCAAGTCGCTTGAGAGGCTCTATGGTCAGCCTTGCAAAGGGACCGGCAAGCCATATACACGCCGCAATACGTAGAGGGACGATCGCCTGCAAACATGACCAAAACTTGTCTAAGCACTGAAGATAGCCTCGCAAACTTTCTGCATCGACTCATCTCTGATAGCAAACGCACCTTTACGATCGCGTAGGCTGCCACGGCATTTGCGAATCCTCCTACGAGGACTGTACCATTCACACCTTCCCCTGTTGCCTCGCTGCCCTTTTCAAAGCCGAACCAGCCTTTCCTGCGCCCATACTTTTCTGCCCGGCGTGTCCCTTCATCGACCCAAGCGCGAAGACGGTCCCGTACTCCATTTGAAGCGGGGCCGGCGTCTTCTACAACGGTCGCCCCCACTGCGTTGGCTGGTAAGAGCCAATCAAGGACCGTCTTTCCTGCCCCAAAGAAGGAGAGGACCCAAAAGATGATCAACAGAGGTATGATCGCGCTAAGCTCGTGCAGTATCAAGAAGCTGATGACCATGCTACCTGGGTCTGTCCCGCTTCTTGCTGCAGCTTCGCGGACGCGAGCTATGCTTCGAGCAAGGATCGAGCTGGCCGGCTGCGAAGGCGGAGGAGGGCGCGAGGGCGAGGAGGAGGATGGCGGTGGGGGAGGCGGAGAAGCCGTGCCTTTCTGAGGAACTTTCGTGGAAAATGTACGGACAGATCCTGGGGTGCTTTGGGGTGCGTCCACAGAGCGATTTGCGACTCTGGAGGCACTTGTCGTCTCTGCATCCACAAGCCAGTGCACCTCATCCTGATCGCCAAGCCAATGCTCCTTCAATGCGCTTGGAAGCAGCATCTTGCCATCTCGGAAGCCATGCTGCTCGACGAGGGCCACGAGTAAACGTGGTATGGCAGCTGCAGTAGCGTTGAGCGTATGAGCATACTCCGGAGAGCTAGCATCGGCTGCAGCTGATTTGTATTTGATGGACAGACGGCGAGCCTGATAGTCGGTGCAATTGGATGCGGAGCAAACCTCGCCCCAATCTCCTCTGCCTCGCATGTATACTTCGACGTCGATCTTCTGATATGCGCTCGCACCCAGCTCGTGTGGTGGCATGTGAAGCGCCCTGTTGGCGAGGAAAAGGCGTTCAAAATCCGTGCGGCATCTCTGTCCCTCCCCCCCTCGACTCACCTCCACGTCAGTTGCAGTGCATCTAGAACGCGTAGCTGAATAGCTAGTAGCCTGTCCAGCCAAGCTTCGCTGTGATCGGGCGTGCACACGACAAACAGCTCGGCTTTTGAGAATTGATGCACTCGAAAAAGTCCCCTGGTCGCTTTGCCTCGAGAGCCAGCTTCGGCTCTGAAAGCGTGTCCGGAAGCCACTTCGAAGATTGGCAGCTGCTTGGTGGAGTACTGCCTGGCCGCATGGAGACCAAGCAAAGGCAGCTCCGCTGTGGCAGCCAAGGCCAACGGCAACGCCTCGCCAGCGGCCACTAGGGTGTATATCTGCGCGGCATCGGCTTGCCGAGGCGCAAAGCCGCTGCGCTCCAGCAACTCTGTTGGGATCACGTCTGGGACGACGCGCATTCGGGCACCTTCTGCAATGGCAATGCTAAGAGAGAGGCGTTCGATGGCGTGAGAGAGGATGGCGAGATGAGAGCCGAGATGGGGAAAGCCGGAAGCAGCGACCTGCTGGGGCAAGGCGGACGGGTGCAGCATAGAGCCAGGAGAATGCTGGTGCAAAAGGTTGACGTGATCGTATTCAGGCATGGCATTGCCCGCACCATGCAAGTCAGGTTCGGGAACGCTTGCAATGTCGCCGCCATATCTGAATGCCTTTGGTGACACCTCCACGTCCAGATCTCCATCTCCATCTCCATCTCCAGCAATGCCCAACTGTTGCAGCACGTGAGCTGCTGTTCGATTGGGCAGTTTGAGCCGAAGCATGCGCGCCTCTGCCGTCACAGCTTCTTGCTCTTTCAACAACCTCTGATACTCTACCTTTGCTTCCTTCTGATTTGCCGTTGCTGCGCTGCTCTGATCAGACAGAGCGTCCACCTGATCTGCTCTTGTGCGCTGGCTCGACGACTTTTGCGCATCCCTCGCAGCAGCCAGACGCTGGTTGACATGTACAAGTCGCTGTTTGAGCTGCACCAGGCGATGTTGATCCTCTGTAGTCAATGCTGCTCTCCTCTGCCGAGCATTGCGAATACCATCTCGCAAGTCGTCATCGCTCCATGACCACGCGGGTTGAGCCGGCGGTAGCTGCTTGTACTTGATTTGTGGAGCTGCCTGGGCATGCTGCCGTGTCGTCGTGGCAGCGGTCCTGATAGCGAGACATGCGCAGCGCTTGTCGAGGTCGCGATGGCGAGGTGGAGATGATGGCAGCAGGCGAGCGGGGCATGCTGACAAGATGGAGCGGGGCAAGGCGCCGCTCCGTGCAGAGACGGACATGAGAGGGTGGGCAAGGTGTGAGGGAGGGAGGGGCAAGTTGGAGGCGAGCAGAATGCGTATATGCGAGCTATGTGGTCATGAGACGACTCGCATGATGACGGTGTCACAAGCGTAGGCGTCAATTGTGAATGACTGGCAGCAAGAGTCAAGAGTCATGAAGCATGAGGTGAGCGTGATTACACAAACGTCACGAGTCCAAGAGGGTGTGTGAGAGAGAGGTGCATGCATGCGCCAAGCCCTTCGCGAGTCACGTGACTTGCCCGGGGATTGCGCTTGACCTTCGTGATTCAACATTCAATTTTTCACTGATTCTTTTCGATTCAAGATTCACCATTCTTGTTTCAAATTCTTGCTTGGCCACCATTCACGATTCACATTGTTGTGAATCTCGACCTCGACTGCGACTTTGCTAGCAGTGTGCCACACACACACATTGCGATGTCCACACTCGATATGCGAAAGCGAATCTTGAATACAAAAAGGCTCGCAAGCACGAAAAGGGCTTGCAGATAGTCAAAGGGCCACGATGACAATCAGCATTTTCAGTTTGAATGCAAATATCCAGCAACGATTTGCCTGTCTGGTCACATAGACCACAAGTGGCGTGTGCATTACGGGACAACGTTGGGAGGGAGGTGTGGCGACAGGTTGTGAATGGTGAGGGTGGTGCACTGCACTGGAACTGGTGCGGTACAGCGCAGGCCATCCATGCGCCCCGTCATGCAATCACGAATGCACCCACCCTCGACTGTTTGGCGATGGGCGATGGGCAATGTGAATGTGCTGTGACGCTATTCGACAATGTTACGTATACACATTGCCACCGCCACCGCTCTCCT